ATATAATTGAGTTGTGTTTCAACTCACTGTATAAGCTTTAAGATCTACAGGCAATACTAGTGCCGACCGTGGAACTGTTACATTTTGCCGTTGCATGCAAAAAATGTGAGCTCAATTCCCCTTTTTTTTGGGGGGGGGAGGTGTTTTTGTTTGTTAGTTTGTTTGTTTGTTGTTGTTGTTGTTTGTTTTAATTAGAGTTTTAAGGCACTAGTAACACAACTGGTTCATATGTAAGCGTCGAAGATTAGATGTGTTTCAAGAGAGCGACATACAAGAGAAGAAGGAGGAGAGTTTATTTCCCAAACTTCCGTTACACTGAAGTAGTTGAGTTAATTTCAAGTACGAGTACTATCCAGTCGGCTCTATGTAAGTTCATTTAAGTGGGTTTAACCAAATCAAAACCAGGGAAACAGGTTCCAGAAAGGTTAATCTGTAATTCGCAACCACTCTATACACCTATTATTATAATCTCAAGTTGTTTGCACAAGTTTATTTGTTCTTTCCTTCTCAGTTACTTATCTCATGATTTATGATGAATGATATTATAGTGCGGTCAAAAGTTCGTGGCACTCGTCGTTATTTCTCCTTTTTTGTGTATGTTTCTCTCTTGTGACACTTACACATCTATTCTTCGGCATTTTTATGACCTTATTCTGTTGCAAGTGTCATAAAACTCTTACTAAAACTAAAACTAAAACGTATCCTCTACTAAATATCTCTTTAACTGGCGAATTAATGTCACCCATATCTTGCACAGCTGTTTGTATCAATTTGTCTCATCGTAATCATAATTGGTCGCTTTTAAGCACAAAGGGGCTATCCCGAAAAATGCTGTTTTGAGAAAATCGAAGGCAAAGTTGTTGTTTTTTATTTTTTTATCCCTGTTCAGTTTTTTTCTAAAGACAACAAAAGTTTTCTCTATAACCAAACAAATATACAAACCAATGAAACCAAACTTCTCCTATAGGTAGGGCAATGCTCACGTTTGGTATAGGTCAAGATTTCTGCAAACCCCCAAAATCTGGGTTAGCCCGCTTGTCCTTAAAAACGACCGTTCTATAAGTAAAATGTCGCGAGTAGAAAAAAATGACGGACTTGCTTTTAAAAGCCATGTTGTCCCAGCTGTAAACTTTCTAAAATCAGTAGGATACGCCCACTTGGATTTTTCATTAATATTTATTTTTAAGGAATTTTATAGGATTCAGCTAACAGGTGTTTACAATTATATTGATCCAAGTCATTATACAAAAGCTGGAGAGTCTGTTTGATAGTTTAGGAAATATTTGACAATAGGTTAAACGACGAATTTTTAACCGCACTGTAATTCTTATACTTGTAGTTCTATTATAAATCTACGTTATGTTCTAAAGTAATCTGGGTTTTTTCTTTCTATTTTTTCGATTCTCATTCCCTTGTCTAATGATGATCCTGGCACTGGCCTGTAACATGCGCCCCTTTACCGTTCACCTTTTCGTTCGCTGATGCAGTTAGAACTTCGCTGTCAGAAAATGGGAGGACCAAGGACAGTTTCCAACATTTCGCAAGACTTTTTGATTTTTTCTTGCTGTTTTTCACTGTGGACCTCGTTCAACAATTTTGTAATTCTATGCACAATAATGCTGGGCTACTTATTGGGCCTCGAAGACTGTTTGATACCCCCTGAGAGAATTGCCTCTCTTTGTTTTTCTTTCTATACATGGGGATTTAGAAACATATTATCACAATGACCACATCTCAAACTCTTGTATTACAGAACAAAGGCTACTTGAATTGAAATCTGTAAGACAGCTAGATTGCTTTTTTGTTTGGAGATGTTTTTTATTGAAGAGAAACAATCTTGGATTTTATTTTCTTCTAGTTTATAACTTTTTTCTTATTAATTTTGTTTGGTACAATTTTAACGGATTCCTCGCTCTGTATATGCGCCTGGGTGTATATATTATTATGAGTATATGATTAAACGAATTTATGTTCTTGACTGTATGTGTATAAATAAATGAATTCATTACATGTGATAAATGTACATTGTTTATATATGTGTACACAAATGAACATTGTTTCATATGTGTGTGTATAAGTGAATGGATTTATCATAATTTATGTGCATACATGTATACGAGGGACGTACAGTAAAGTCCTTATCCATACTAGGGAAGAAACAAGCTTGGAAGTTGAAATTTGGCACTCACAGTGATACTTCTGTGTCGTCACCCTGCAAATTGGCACACTTTTATCACCTCTTTTTGGACTTCAAAAGTCCTTGAACATGATAATATACCCTCGAATGGGACTTAAGTTATTTTAGCACTGAATATATAGTGTCTCTTCATTGCTGTGAAAACAATGGCTTGCAAGAACCTTTTTCAGATTGGGAAAGGGAAAAAATTAGAGGGTGAATAGGATGGGTGGGAGAAAATTTAGAAATATGTAATTATGTATTGCTTTGCTGTCTGAGTTGCCTTCATTGTTGTGCAGCAGGAGGATTCCTCTTTGCAGCATTCATCGTCTTTTCTGGGCAGAGGTACATTGGCTGGTTTCGTCAGTGACGCTGAATAGTTGTCCCTAGTGATGGTATAGCCATTGTTTAAGTTGTCTGTGTCATGATGACACATTCATTTTTCTAAGAACAGAACAGAATAACTTTCCACTTGAAGGCTGCACATTTGCGGGATCAGCGATGAAGACATCCTGATGTAACAACGGCAATGATGATAATAATAACATTTAGAATAAAGCAAATGTCTGTTCAAGAGCAAGCTCAACCAGAATAAATTGTCTTTTTTATTAATACAAAGGAATGTTTAGTAATGTGGATTTTTTTTTTACCGATTGTGTCATTTGAATAAACCCCAAGACAGGACTTAACGAAAGCTGCACATTAAATGTGTGTACGAAAAGTGTATTTTTATTTGTAAATGATTACACTAACATACTTTCTCTCTCTCTCTCTCTCTCTCTCTCTCTCTCTCTCTCTCTCTCTCTCTCTCTCTCATCTTCTATCTATCACT